AGTTATCTGTTTCTTTTTAGATACCCTCATGAACATTTAATACAAAGCTAATTGCTTTTTTTTCCTTTTTTTCTTTTTTTTTTGTGACAGAGTCTTGCTCTGTCACCCAGACTGGAGTATACTGACTTGATCTTGACTCACTGCAACCTCTGCCTCCCAGGTTGAAGCAATTCTCTGCCTCAGTCTCCCAAGTGGCTGGAATTACAGGCGTCCACCACCACGCCCGGCTAATTTCTGTATTTTTAGTAGAGACAGTGTTTCACCATCTTGGTCAGGCTGAGTCTTGAACTCCTGACCTCATGATCCACCCACCTTGGTCTCCCAAAGTGCTGGGATTACAGGCGTGAGCCACTGTGCCCAGCCGCTAATAGTCTTTTAAAAGCTTTATTGAGATGTAATTTACGCAACATTAAAATTCATCCATTTTAAGTGTACAATGGGTTTTTTGAGTATATTTACAGAGTTTTGCCACTATTATCATAATCTAATTGTATCTTATTTGTGATATAATTAACAAAATTCTATAACCAAACCACTATCTAATTCTAGAACATTTTCATCCCCGCAATAAGGAACCTCATACTCAGTAGCAGTCACTCCCCATTTCTCCCCAACCCCTTCAGCCCTATGCATTCACTAATCTACTTTTTGTCTCTATGGATGTGCCTATTCTTGACATTTCATGCACATAGAATCATACAGTATGTGGACTTTGTGACTGGCTCCTCTCACTTGGCATAATGTTTTCAAGGTTCTTTCATGTTATAGCATATATCATAACTTTATTCCTTTTCTCCTAATAATATTCTATTGTATGATATACCACACGTGGTTTATCAACTTATCAGTTGATGGATATTTGGGTTTCCACTTTTTGGCTATCAAGAAAAATGCTGTAGGCTGGGTACCATGGCTCACGCTTATAATTCTAGCACTTTGGGAGGCTTAGGTGGGAGGATGGCTGTGCTCAGGAGTTCAAGACCAGCTTGGGCAACATGGCAAAACACCAACTCTACAAAAAAAAATTTTTAAACCCAGGCATGGTGGTGCACCCCTGTAGTCCTAGCTTCTTTGAGGGGGCTGAGGTAGGGGGATGGCTTGAACCCCTGAGGTCAAGGATACAGTGAGCCGGCGCCACTGCACTCCAGCCTAGATGACAAAGTGAGACCCTGTCTAAAAAAAAAAAAAAAAAAAAAAAAAGAATAATGCTGCATAAACATTCACAAACAAGATTTTGTGTAGACACTGTTTTCATTTCTCTTGAAAATACCTAGAAGTGGAATTACTGGGTCATGTGCTAATCACGCTTTAGATGAGTAATAGGATTTTTTTCTACTTCAGAGGGTTTCTGACACAACCAGGAGGCTTTTCCATAAAAATGCAAACATAAAATCCATTTGTTGGTATAATACGGTCCATGTGCATATGTCTTTGCTATCATCAAAAGGTATCATATTTTCCAATTTCAGTTGAAATAGAAATTCTGACATTAGATAAGATCTTAGAATCTTGGAGTCTGTACTAATCTACTTCATTCACATGCTGGGATAAAATTCTGTTTTTAAGCAGGAAGTATATATCCAACTCCTATGGCTGACAATTGCTTAAGAGATAAATACATGATACGGTTAGACTGACACAACACCAGGAGCAAAAAATAATAATTTAAAATGTTAAGACACTGGGCTGGGTGCGGTGGCTCACATCTATGATCCCAGCCCTTTGGGAGGCCAAGGCAGCCGGGTCATCTGAGATCAGGAGTTCAAGATTAGCCTGTTCAGCCGGGCGCGGTGGCTCAAGCCTGCAAGCCCAGCACTGTGGGAGGCCGAGGCGGGTGGATCACGAGGTCAAGAGATCGAGACCATCCTGGTCAACATGGTGAAACCCTGTCTCTACTAAAACTACAAAAAATTAGCTGGGCATGGCGGCGCGTGCCTGTAATCCCAGCTACTCAGGAGGCTGGGGCAGGAGAATTGCATGAACCCGGGAGGCGGAGGTTGCGGTGAGCCGAGATCGCGCCATTGCACTCCAGCCTGGGTAACAAGGGGGAAACTCCGTCTCAAAAAAAAAAAAAAGATTAGCCTGTTCAACATGGGGAAACCCTGTCTCTAGGAAAAATACAAAAGTTAGCCGGGCATGGTGGTACCAGCCTGTAATCCTAGCTAGCTACTTGGGAGACTGAGGCACGAGAACAGCTTGAACCCAGGAGGTGGAGATTGCAGTGAGCCGAAATCATGCCACTGCACTCCAGCCTGGACAACAAAGGGAGACTCTGTCTCAAAAAAATAAAATAGGCCTGGCACCGTGGCTCAAGCCTGTAATCTCAGCACTTTGGGAGGCCGAGATGGGCTGATCATCTGAGGTCAGCAGTTCTAGACCAGCCTGACCAACATATAGTAAAACCCCGTCGTCTCTACTAAAAAATACAAAAATTAGCTGGGCGTGGTACACACGCCTGTAGTCCCAGCTACTTGGGAAGCTGACGCAGGACGATCCCTTGAACCCGGAAGGCAAAGGCTGTAAAGAGCCATGATTGAGCCACTGCACTCCAGCCTGGGCAACAGAGCAAGACTCAATCTCTCAAACTAAATTAACAAAATAAAATAAAATATTACACATCAACCATGTGCGGTGACTCACACCTGTACTCCAAACACTTTAGGAGACCAATGTGGGCGGCTCGCTTGAGCCCAGGAGTTCAAGACCAGCCTGGGCAACATAGCGAAACCGTGTCTCTACGAAAGTATATATATATATAGACACCCTGATTTTTAGACACACTGATTACTCATTTTCTTTCCCTAGAAGGACTGTCTGTGTGTGTTGGGGAGGGTGCTGTTTCTCAAAAGCATTTTTCAAAAATTGTAGGCCAAATAAACTTCTGGTCACATTTTTGGGGGTTTGTTTTTTCCCAGTAATGAACACTCTAGTTCAAATATATTTTGCAAATTTTGAACAGATAATGAAAAGTTGATTGTAAAATTCTACATTTAAAAAAGACTTTAAAGACACATTTTCATTTTTTAAAAAAATCAAACATCTTGCAGTAGAAATTAGACATAATCAAGGGAAAACTACCAGATGTCCTACCAATCACAGCCCTAGAGAAAACGCCACAGGTCGTCCAAAAAATGCATTCGTTTGAGTTAACAGCTCCTTCCTCCCGCCAAAGGTATCCCTCGAACTTCAGAAGCTGACCCTACGAGAGACTGATTTGATTTCTCCTTTTTGATTACTCCCACCCTGCCACTCCCAATCCACCTGCTTGAAGGTGTCAACGCGACTAGAAACGGTTAACAGTGACCAGCAGCAGAGAGAGAAACAAACATCCCTGACAACCCACAGCTGAGTAAGCAAGAGCCGTTTATTCACTAACGTGTTCCATTTGGAGACTGTCGGAGAGCCCTTGAAAGCCCAGGCACATTTGAGAAGGTTTCTGGCGAGGGAGGGAATCATCTTTTCTTCCCCCACTCGCCAGCCCCAAACACACAGTGGGAGACTCGGGTGGAAGCCGTCTGGTCCAGGCAGTCCCGACTTGCCCGCCCCCTCAAGAAAAACCTCACGCACCCAAGCAGCCGACCCCTTGAGGGGGTGGTGTAATTCCCCCAAAATGGGCTCTGCCGCAGGAGAGGCTGGCGCCAGCGCCGGGGGCTTCGGAAGGAGTTTCTGCCACCCCCACCTCCGCCACTGCCCGCCCCCACGCCACGGCCGGGGCTGAGGACCCTGATGAGAAATGGCCCTTCAGCCCCCTCCCCTCACCTGGCTCGGTCCCACCTGAGGGCAAGAGCGGAGGCGAAAAGAAACAGGCAGGGAAGGCTGACCTTGTTGCTACTGACAGTGGAGCGGCGCATCCTGCTGCTTCCTGGAAAGCCGCCCGAAAGACATTTTTTGTCCCAGGAGGAAGGAAACGGTAGGGCGCCGACCGGACGGCGGCCGTCGCGGAGGCGTTGGTCCGGCGGTCTGTGCAGCCTCTAGCGGGGACGGCCCGAGGACTACATCTCCCAGGCTGCTCTGGGCCGCCCTACGACGTGACCCCAGCGCGCACGGAGGCGGCGACTCTTACCTCACAAAGGTAGCTCCTCCGCCGGCAGTAGCTCGGCGCCCGTGGTCCATGGACCGGAACCTCGGGCCGACGGGCAGGAACCCGGGCCGCGATCGCCGCCTCCCCGCCTCAGGCTCCTCCTCCTTGCTTTCTGCCGCCTACCCCGAACGCCCGCAGGCTCCGCACAGCCCTCGCTTGGCTAGCCGAGCTGCCCCGGGAAGCTGGGTGGCGGGTTCGCGACTGCCACGGGACTGAGGCCTACTCTGCCGCCTCTCAGTGCTATTGTCCCTGGGCCTGGCCCTGAGCAGGTCTTCTGGGGAGGGCCGAGTGCGCCGGCTCCGCGGAAGATGCCGGATCAAGCCCTACAGCAGATGCTGGACAGGTACGGGCCGCTGTGTGGGGGTAGGGGAGCCGCCGACCCTCGCTCTCGCCCTGCCCGCGCCGGCCCTCGAGGCTCTTGGTGAGCAGAGCCCGGCGTGCCGAGAGGGGTTCCACGGCCAGGGGGCTGTGAAAGACGCAGAAAGTTTTCAGTCTAGACTTGGGGGCGGACATTGCGAGCGGCCTGGGTCGTAGACTTTGGGTGAAACTTAGCCAAGGAGTGGCGTCTGCTTTCTTTGGAACCCCGTTTTGACGTGAGAGGGACTTATGTTAACCCACAAGATTAGTTTCTTTTTCTTACCCTCTTCCCCTCCCCCCCACAACTTGTAAAGTGTTTGTCAGCGATGTCACTGGCAAGAAGAACCGAATTATTTTTCAGGGGAATGACCCCCTTATAATTTTAAGTCTCTAAGAACCAATGATAAGCATTCTTTTAGAAAGTCTGATTGGCTGATTTCATTCTCCCCCCTTTCCCCGTCCCCGCACCCCCTCATCCCGTCCCCACCTCCGAACTGTAAGGTCAGAGTATCCGCAAGGGAGCTTTAACGGTCAGTCCAGAGTAGAGTTTATGGAAAACAGCCAAATTAGTCCAACTCTGAACACTTAGCGTACTTGACGATCGTTGAGTTCATTGAAGACATTTCAGCTAGTACAGGAGTCAGTTGCCCATTCTTGGGGGGCCCCGGTCGGTGAAACTCTTTGTGAAGTCAGCCGCACCGCCCTCTGCTGTTGAAATTCTAGCCGTGGGTTCTACCCTGAGTTTTTGGAGACTCTAGATCCACATTTCCCCCAGCCAAGTCTTACTTCCTGGCATAGCAAGTTGTACAAGCTAATTCATGATGTTTGTGGTTGCTTACAACTCTCAATAGGCATCACTTGCCACCCATTTCAGCAGGTGGTACCAACTCTTTGTACTAAGTAAAATTCCAACTGTAAGGTGTTAAATGAAGGGCCTCCCTTAATTGTGTTTATGTCTAATTAAATGCTGTTTGGTTCTGCCACACCCAGAACACAAATGACCCAAATGTACATATCCTTCCAGGGTGACAGACGTTTTTTTGGAGCTTAGAATTTTGAGCCGTCTCAATTGATAGAAATTATGTCACTGATTTTTTTCAGTTGGGATAACTGGTGATTCATCCAGCCCTTGTTTCAGGTCAACATTCTGCCAATTGTATTGACTACCCTTTTTTATATGTATGTGTGTGGTTTACAAGCTCCTGGAAGGCAGAAACTTACTATTGTTTATCTCTAATCCCAGAATAGAGCCTGGTACTCAGTAAGTAATTAAGTATTTGTTGTGAACTAATGCACAAACTTATTTGTCAGTTTCCCCAGTTGTCTAGGGGTCTGATAATTTACCAGGTATTCCTTTAATTGTAAATTGGCAAATTGTGGCAAATTAAATTATGCATAGAGGAGACCGCCTGCCACTGCCAATTCTAAACTGTTGAGACCCTGTTCTGATGCAGGGTATTTTGTAATTTTTTCCTCTGAGGACCTCCTGCTTTCATTTTTACATAGTGACTTTTTTTCGAGACAGAATCTCTGTAACCCAGGCTGGAATACAGTGGCAGTGACGTGGTCTCAGCTTATTGCAGCCCCCGGATCCTGGGCTCAGGTGATCCTCCCACCTCAGCCTCTCTAGTAGCCAGGGACTACAAGCACATGCCACCACGCCCAGCTAATTTTTTGTATTTTTATAGAGCCAGAGTTTTGCCATGTTGCCCATACTGGTCTCAAACTCCTGGGCTCAAGTGATCCTCGCGCCTCAGCCTCAGAAAGTGCTGGGATGTCAGGCGTGAGCCACTGTGCCCGGCCTAGAAATGCTCTTATGTCCAGCAGCTAACCTAGCTTTTCATATGCTCTTTGGAGATTTCCCTAAAAGTAAGAAGCCAAAGAGTGAGGTCCGGCACGGTGGCTCACTCCTGTAACCCCAGCACTTTGGGAGACCAAGGCAGATCACTTGAGGTCAGGAATTCGAGACGAGCCTAGCCCACATGGTGAAACCCTGTCTCTACTAAAAAAAAATACAAAAATTAAGCAGGCATAGTGACGTGTGCTTGTAGTTCCAACTCTTGGGAAGCTGAGGCATGAGAATTGCTTGAACCAGAGAGACGGAGGTTGCAGTGAGCCAAGATCACACCACCGCCCTCCAGCCTGGACGACAAAGTGAAACTAAATCTCAAAAAAATATATATATATATATTAGTGAGGCATTTAAAACTTCTCAACAGAAATGTGAAGGTTTTGGCTGCCATTTACTGAAGCAGGTGACTATGACACTGGCTTACTCTCATTTTTGTTCTCCTTTTGACATACCTTAAGGTAGATTTTTAACATGACTGTCAAAGACCTTTATTGTCTGGATTAGTAGTTGGTAGCCTACTTCCGTGTTAGAATTACCTGGGCATTTCAAAATATGCATGGATGCTGGATCCTCTCTAAGACTAATAAGATCAAAAACTTCTGTAGGATAGATCCTGGACATCTGTAAAGCTTTTTAAATGTTTCGGATATGGCTGAAAATGACTGCCGTAAGTCCTAAGGCAGTGATACCTTTCATGGTAAGAGATAGTAGGGTATAGTGAGTGAAGCTTGGGCTTCAGAGATAGAAAGCATGAAATTTGAATTCTGCCACTTACTAGCTATGTGACTTTGAACTTAGATTCTGACGCTATGTATATCATTTATGAAATGGGAATATCCTACTTCACAGGGTTACAGTACACGAAAACGTAATCGCTATAAAACAACAAAACACTCTGTGTTAGCCCAATAGAAGGCACGTAAGACTAATGTAAACCAGTTTGGCCATTTTTCCCCCATCTACTTTATGTTTACAATTTGCTTCATCTGGGCTGGCCCTACTGCAAGTTGAACACAAAGATAGTCAACATGATTCACTTGAAGGAGTATCAACAGGCCAAGAGACTAAGATATGTCAGCCTGTTAGGACCCAGAATTTTTTAAATGAATTTGGCTTCTCCCTAACGTGGTTTTTGGTGCCAATCTTTGAGGGACAGAATTTAGCTCAGATAATTGTTCATGTGTTTATTTATTTAATGCAGGTTTTTAACTTTGTAAAGACTAAGGAAATATGTGTAACATATTGTTCTGTTCATTTTAGGTTAAGTTATGTATTTTATTTAGACCAGGCACAGTGGCTCACGCCTGTAATCCCAGCACTTTGGGAGACTGAGATGAGAGGATTGCATGAGTCCAGGAGTTGGAGACCAGCCTGGGCAACATGGCGAGACTCAGTCTCTACAAAAAATTTAAAAATTAGGCCAGGTATGGTGGCACACGCCTGTGGTCCCAAATAGGAAGCTGAGGTGGAAGGATTCCTTGGGGGTCGTAGCTGCAGTGAGCCATGTTTGCATCGCTGGGTACTCCAGCCCAGGTAACATAGCAAGACCCTGTCTTTAAAAAAAAAAAAAAAAGGTGTTATTTTACAATGAATCAATTATTAAACATTTATATTTATTGAATTTATTTAATAAATACTGAGTGTCTACATATGCCCAATACCATTCTAGGCCCTTGGTATATAGTGGCGAATTGAACATTTAAAAAAAGCCCTTATGGAGCTTTAATTCCAGTGGTGTTTGTGTTGCTTAAACTGTCAAAGACTCGTTTCAGTGGTAACAAGAATGGTATGTTCAATTTATACCACTTAATCTTTCAGGGTTTTTAAATTAGTGGCAACTTTTTTTTTTTTTTTTTTTTTTTTTTTTTTTTAGAAATTTTTTTTTTTTTTTTTTTTTTTTTGAGACAAAGTCTCACCCTGTCACCTAGACTGGAATGCAGTGGTACAGTCTCTTGGCTCACTGCAACCTCTGCCTCCCAGGTTCAAGCAATTCTTCTCCCTCAGTCTCCCGAGGAGCTGGGACTATAGGCATACACCACCACACACAGCTAATTTTAGAGACAGGGTTTCATCATGTTGGCCAGGCTATCTCGAACTCCTTACCTCAAGCAGTCCACCAGCCTCGGCCTCCCAAAGTACCTGGATTAAAGGCATGAGCCACTGAACTTGGCCAACTAGTGGCAACTTCTTAATAGCTGAAGTTGAATTTCCTTGTCTTTTGCAAATAACTCACTTTAGTTTAGCTATTATTTATATTGATAAATTTAATTACTATAGTATTTGTAGGTGGAAAGTATATATATGGATATACTTTTGATTGCCTTTTGTTTTTATAAACTGTTTAAGTGTTTTATATAAATTTATTATTTGAACCCTTTTTTTTTTTTTTTTTTTTTTTTTTTTTTTTTTGAAACAGTTTTGCTCTTATTGCCCAGGCTTGAGTGTAGCGGCTTGATCTCGGTTCACTGCAACCTCCGCGTCCCGGGTTCAAGCCATTCTCCTGCCTCAGCCTCCCAAGTAGCTGGGACTACAGGCATGTGCCACCACACCCGGCTAACTTTTTGTATTTTTTTTTTCTTTGGCCGTAGACCAACTTTTTGTATTTTTAGTAAAGACAGGTTTCTCCATGTTTGTCAGGCCGGAACTCCCAACCTCAGGTAATCTGCCTGCCTCGGCCTCCCAAAGTGCTGGGATTACAGATGTGAGCCACCACGCCCAGTCTTGAACCATTTAAATTATTGTGGGTAAACAAGAATGCTGGAAAGGGGGGGTGATTTTTCTAGTGTCATGAATGTTTTAGCATCACAAATATCATTTCCCTGAAATTATAACCACTCATAAGCCCAAACCCTTTATATCAAGTTTTTTGAACCTTAGTTAGGTCTTCTATCTTTTTCATTGCTTCAGTTCTTTAGTAAGAAGTTGTTATGTATTACTTTCTCTTTCACCACCACCTTTCTTATTTTTCTCTAAAACTTCTCAAAGTTAGGATTGAATTTTCAGAGAACAATTCAAAGAATATAACAGACTGCAGGAATGGACCTCTGATTTG